GCCTCGGAAGAGGGACCTCCGGAACTGAACCGTCAGAGCCCCAACTCGTCTTCATCGGCGTCGGTGGCGTCTCGGCGTGGGACGCACAGCGGGCTAGTGTCGGGGTTGCCCAACTCTGGGGGTGGCGGGGGCCCACAGCTTACCGTGCCCCCCAACTTGCTGCCGCAGACGCTGCTTAATGGTCCGGCCAGCGCCGCCGTGCTGCCCCCACCGCCGCCCCACGGCCTGGGCAGCCGTGGGCCCCCGACACCTGCGCCCCCGGGGGCCCCCGGGGGCCCGGCTTGTCTTGGGGGCGCTCCGGGCGTCTCTGCCACGTCGTCCTCCGCGACGTCGTCGACTTCGGTGTCGGTGGCTGAGGTGGGCGTGGGTGCTGGTGGCAAAAGACACGGCTCGGTGTCAAGCACAGACCAGGAGCGGGAGCTGAAGGAGAAACAGCGGAACGCCGAGGCCCTGGCGGAGCTGAGCGAAAGCCTGCGCAACCGCGCGGAGGAGTGGGCCAACAAGCCCAAGATGGTCCGCGACACGCTGCTCACGCTGGCCGGCTGCACGCCCTACGAGGTGCGCTTCAAGAAGGACCACTCGCTGCTGGGCCGCGTCTTCGCCTTCGACGCCGTCTCCAAGCCCGGCATGGACTACGAGCTGAAGCTGTTTATTGAGTACCCCACGGGCTCGGGCAACGTGTACTCCAGCGCCTCCGGGGTGGCCAAGCAGATGTACCAGGACTGCATGAAGGACTTCGGCCGGGGTCTCTCCTCCGGCTTCAAGTACCTGGAGTACGAAAAGAAGCACGGGTCCGGGGACTGGCGCCTCCTTGGAGACCTCCTGCCCGAGGCCGTGCGCTTCTTCAAGGAGGGCGTGCCCGGTGCAGACATGCTGCCCCAGCCCTACCTGGACGCCAGCTGCCCCATGTTGCCCACAGCGCTGGTGAGTCTAAGCCGCGCCCCCAGTGCACCCCCGGGGACCGGGGCCCTGCCGCCTGCCACCCCCTCGGGCCGGGGTGCGGCTTCCAGCCTGCGCAAGAGAAAGGCATCCCCCGAGCCTCCCGACTCCGCCGAGGGCCCGCTGAAGATGGGTGAGGAGCAGCAGAGGCAGCAGTGGATGGCGAACCAGAGCGAGGCGCTGAAGCTCACCATGTCGGCCGGGGGCTTTGCGGCGCCGGGGCATGCGGCTGGCGGCCCGCCCCCGCCGCCTCCCCCCCTGGGGCCCCACTCCAACCGGACCACCCCGCCTGAGTCAGCCCCTCAGAACGGTCCGTCCCCCATGGCCGCCCTCATGTCGGTGGCAGACACTCTGGGCACTGCGCACTCGCCCAAGGATGGCAGTTCCGTCCACTCCACCACGGCGTCTGCCAGGCGCAACAGCAGCAGCCCAGTGTCGCCGGCCTCTGTGCCTGGGCAGCGCCGCTTGGCCTCACGGAACGGGGACCTGAATTTGCAGGTGGCGCCCCCGCCGCCTAGCACCCACCCGGGCATGGACCAAGTGCACCCCCAAAACATTCCGGATTCCCCTATGGCCAACAGCGGGCCCCTCTGCTGTACTATTTGCCACGAACGTTTGGAGGACACGCATTTCGTTCAGTGCCCATCCGTCCCCAGCCACAAATTCTGCTTCCCTTGCTCAAGAGAGAGTATCAAGGCCCAGGGAGCCACCGGCGAGGTGTACTGCCCCAGTGGAGAGAAATGCCCCCTAGTTGGGTCGAATGTACCTTGGGCCTTCATGCAGGGCGAAATCGCAACGATCTTAGCTGGGGATGTTAAAGTGAAAAAGGAGAGAGACCCTTGAACCACAAGACGGCCACCTCCTTTGACCTAGACCAGCTCCTCTCCAATCCAGAGGGCCCCTCCCCTCTCCACATCTACCCTCCCTTCCCTCACCCCCAAGATGTAGAATTGTGAATATAACAAAACTGCAAAAAGTTAGTCTTATGTATAGACATTATTTTCGTCGTATGTTTCTATATTTTGAAACTAAGGTATGTAACTTCTTCATTTGAAGGACAAGCTGGTTTGTGTTAAGCAGTATAATATTGGTTGGGTCATTTGCATCATATTTGTTAGCATTTATTTGGTGGCAGGGTGTTTGCCTAGGTACAGAATTAATAGCCCTTAGCAACACTGCTGCTGGTGTGTATTTTTGTAAATGTTATGCACTCTCTAAAAGGAAAAAAACACAAAAGAAAATGACTTTTTTTTTTTTTTTTTTGCCAAGGCCAGTGTTGCTGCCTAAAAAAAAGATGCTATAAAATGGTGACAGCTTCTTTCTAAACAGCCCCAAGTGTTGAAGTCTTCACTTTAAGTTGTTCTGTTTTGTTTTTGTTTTTCTGTTTTGTTTGCAAAAAATGGTAAAGGGGATGTTGGGGGGGCAGGGTGTTTTTTGTTGCAAGTTTGTGAGGGAAAATGTTTGGGTTTGTTTCTGCTGACCTGAATGTGTTGGATCTTCACGTGTTGTTTTGTTTTTGCTTTATTGATGCACGGATGCTTTTGAACAGTAGAGCGAAATGCTAGACATGGAGAATTTGCTCTGTTTGTCCTTTATACATTTCTGTAGTTAACAGAACACTGTAATGTGCCTTGGAGCTTAGTAACTTGTAATAAATTCAATTGATATTAATTCTGCCCTGCGTCAGCAAGTGTGTTTTTCTAGGGGTAGGCCACACGGTTCCAACATAGGGGACACTCCCCACCTCCAACGAGAACACAAATGCTGGTGCCTTTGAAAGCTCTTCCAAGCCTGCATCTGTAAAAGGCCCTGTGCTGGCTGACTGCCCCTCCCCTCTCAGTACCAGGCTATTTACATTCACCTCTGGGGCAGGGACAGTTGCTGACTAAGCAGTTTCTGTTTACTCTTCAGCATTTCTATTTTCTCCTGGATGCACCCTGCCTCAGCTGCAGATGGCAGTTAGGAATGCTTTTTGGTGCCTTGCCTTGTGGCCATGAGGATATACTGATACCCAAATGCACTATGACTTGTGTAAAGTGTATGGGGGGCGGGGGGAAGGGGACGATGGGGGGAGAAGGGAAGCATCTACGGTGCTTTGCCTCTTAGATGTGGCAGAAATCACTGTATTT